AAGACCCTTGTTTCCTAACTTGGCCTCTTACTTCAGATACCACAGAAATGTATGTGTGTCTGTGTATTTGTGTGCTCTGCCTACCCCACCATCCACTACGGCCCCCAAATCAAGGAGGGTTTTGTTTGCTGTATCCATTGCTGCAGCCTGGAATGATACTCAGAACACATCTGAGTGGATGAAAAGAAAGATGGGCATGCTTTGTGCCCCTTTCCTGCCAGGCATCATGTGCCTCCCCATCTCTTCTCATCCCTCATCTCCAAGCTCAGTGTCCTCTCTTCTAGGCACTTTGAATAGTGTGCAGGGTAGCTGATGCTCTGTGCTAGCCCCTGGGGTTGTACTGAGAGGCAATCTGCTCCCTGGCCCCAGCAACTGGGACCTCGCCCTTCAAGAGGACTGCTTAGATGTCAAGAGCAGGTGACGTCTGAGCCCTATGGAATAATCAAGGCAGCCTCCAACTGCCCCTGCTATGCATCGTCTTAACTCAACCATGGACTGGCAGTTACTGAAATATTATTTGTGGGCCGGCACACCACACCAGGCTGTGTCTGGGGACCCTCAGGAGATGAGCAAACCGGTCCTCATCAGCAATTACAAACAAGTCCTCCATTGTTAGTGAGCCATCTGCTTTCTGGGTTTCTACCAATCAAGGGCCTGTATGCATAGCGTACCCAGGGCCAAGGGGGGCTGCAGGAGAGTGAGATCAAGGAGCCCCTTCATAAAGAGCCTTTTCTCACATAGGAGAGCATCAGGAGCCTGAGGTAGACCCATGCACACAGAGGTGTGAGGATCTTCCATTAGATGAAATGGAACCTTGCAGTATGGCATACTGGGAGAAATTATCCTTAGAAATTATCTTCTAAGGACATTATCATCTGTTACCCGCAGTCAACCTGGATAGAGCTTCTTATGCCCACCCATGGAGAAGGACCCAAGTTCATAGTAAGACAAGGAAGTACCACTTGGTCATCCAGGGCTGGTCATGGATCCTGGCTTCCCACCCCAAATGCTCTATCAGGAGGCCGAGTTTTCATCAGTAGATTGGAGAATACAACTTCATGGAAGTACACACACTTCCTTCAGAGAGACATAGCAAGGAGAGTGTCCGAGTAGTGTTAAAAAATCTCTAGTCACTGTGCCAACCCTGGGAGATGGGATCAACAGAAAGTCTGAGTTTGTAATTGTGGCAGTGTGTACAACGATTTGTGTCGCTGCTAAATGTCCAGATTTGATAGGCATCGAGCTATATGGAATTGAGTATAGTTGTTGGGGTAGAAAGCTACTTTCTGGAAGCAAAAATAGTGTGCATCTAACTGGAAACACAGGGAGTAAGATGGTGTGGAAGGGCTGACGGGCCTGTCATAAGGATCAGGAAACTGAGATCTTCCCTCAGTTCTGTATGCTTCTGGGGACTCCTTTGTAAATATGGCCCCTACTGGTATTTGGTCCCATCAAGTGGGTATTCAAGTGAGCATTCAGGAATGATGCACGAAGGCTTTAGGAACAGGGGGAGCTGGGATAAACACATTTTCTCAGCAGTGAGTCCATTATCAAACTGAAGCTGCTGAGGAGGTGTCCTTCCATTCACTGGATTTTTATCTTCTCTCTCTTCAGATTAAAGCACAGAGCTGTCTCATTATACTTGAGCAAGGTAAGACTAACACTTTGGTGTCCCCCTCCCCACCATGCCCATGCACACGCTAAACACTGCTTTTGGGGAGAGGTATCGGTTGACTAACACTTCATGCCCACTCAGCTCCTTGGGCCTCAGCCTTGCCTGCCTCCTGTCTTTTCCCAAGGGGCCCTGCCACTCTCCCGCCCCTACATGTCTGTGCTGCCTGTGGAGCCCAGCTCTGTCTGCCTTTCTTCTGCCAGTACACTCTGGGTGGAATCTGACACCAACACCTGCCATCGTGGAAAATGTCTTTGTCGCCTCCCTTTTGTGTGGGGGGGCTGCAGGGAGCCCTGGGTACAGGACCACTGCCCCCCTCCCCCTTTTGTTGTCGGTGAGCAAGCCTGAAGAAGCAGGATGTTGAGATGAGCCGATAAGATAAAGCTCCTGCTGGGCTGGCCTTTGACTACTTGCCTTAGCAGAGGCCTCCAAAGGCCTCCATGCAGGGAGGGCAGGTCGTTAAGGAGGGCTGCTGAATAGAGCAGCTGGGACAAGAGAGACAGACAAAAGCTAAGCAAGTGCAGAGGGAGGCGAACCCCAGGATCTGCAGTCTAGGACTCAGAGAACAAGCTGAGATGGCAGGTGTGACCTCCCAGCCTGACCTTTCTGTCCTGGGCCTGAGATACTGACCCAGCACAGATAGCTCAGATGGGTGGCAGCCACCACTGCAGGACTGGGTATGACTCTCTGGTGTGGCCTGGCTGTACTGGTCTCTGGTTCACAGGTAGCAGAAACTTGGGTAGTGACTATGGTAATGCCACTCAGAAGAGAGAGAGAGAGCTGCCATTTAGTAGCCATATTCATTCCTATGGTGGTCTCAACACAAATAGGAAGAGCTCACCCAGGACACCCCTGTAACCCAGCAGGCTACCATACCTGCTGGTTGGCTGAGCAACCAGTCACTGTAGTAGTCAATCCTCTAGCCCAGCTGCCCTTTCTCTTCTCAACCATCAACCAAAGCTTTGGACTGGTCCCAGCAGTGTCCCAAAGGTGACAGCATCTACAGAACATAAGTGCTCTAGTCAAGAAGGCTTGAGCAGGATTGTAAAGTCCCGTCCCAGTAAGAGTTTAGGTATACAGATTTGTATTTACAGCCCCCTACCCCGTGTACTCCTGCGCCTGCCCTGGCAGAGGTAAAACAGAGACTAAGGGCCCTTTGAATAAGCCCCGGCTTCCATCCCCAGCAGAAGCGGAACTGGGGCAGCGCTGCCAGCAGCTTGCAAGTGTAGTCACTGTATCAAAAATCAGCCCTTATCCTTTGTGCCCATCTATGCGTTCTGCAGCTGCTGTCTCCCCATCCATCATAGGGTACAGTGGGCATAGGGGAGTCATCGCAGGATGAAGGTGTGCTCGCGGGAGTTGAGAACTGAAGGAATGCATGGGTCATGGTTACGCTGGATCCTGGTGTGGCTGTGCTCTCTACCTTTAGGAGTATAAACCCCTTGCTTGCAGAGCTTTGAAATGATGGCTCTGACTTATTCACTAAGACAGCTGGCACTATTCTGTCCATCTGCAGGACTCAAGCTGTGACCCTCTGTCCTCCTTGTCTTCCCTGGTAGAGGGGGATTGAGGAATAGCTAATATGTTTGCTTCTGACCAAGCATTCGTAACGCCCTTACCTAATATCTTTAAGCATTTATTGACTTCCTTTTTTCTTTTTTGGCTTCTTAATCTCAACTGATCTGATCAGAGTGGGTGGCCTTTCAAACCAGAATACTCTCTGAGGTTCAGCCAGGTTTATTTCCCCTCTTGCCCTTCACCCCGATCAAATGTGCCTGCCCACTCCTAACAACTAGGAGATGGAGATATGCCCATAAAAACCCAATCCTTGAGGGGCTAGAGAGATGGCTTTGCAGTTAAGAGCTGGCTTCTCTTCCAGAGGACCCAGGTTCAAATCTCAGCACCCACATGGCAGCTCACAACTGTCTGTAACTCCAGTCCCAGGGGATCTGACACCCTCTTCTGGCCTCTGTGGGCACCAAGTAGCACATGTACATATATGTAAGCAAAACAAATATATGTTTACAAACAACACTAATCTTGGAATGGCCAAGTCTAGCTATGCTTTGCTTAAAGCAGCCTAAGTTTTGTATTTTTGCAGTACTGGGACTTAGGGCTTCGTGCATGCTAATTAAGGTTTCTACCACTGAGCTACCCCCACTCCTCATGGCCTGTTTCTGAAGAGGAAAACAATAGGAGAGGGCTCAGGGCCTCTCTCTCTCTCTCTCTCTCTCTCTCTCTCTCTCTCTCTCTTTCTGCTAACCTCACTGACCCTAGAAGGGAAGGAGGGGGAAAGCCTGTCCTTGGAATCTGCACTGAGAAACCAGAGAGTGCATGGGACAGTGTCTCCTCACGTGACGTGACAGGGACTGGTAAGGACCGATTTCAGAAGCTCTTCCCCAGAAGATAAGGCATGGTCAAAAGACGTATATATTAAAAGAAAAAGAAGCATGAATAAATAAAAAGCTGTAAACAAAATAAGCCAAGTAAATTAATTTCGAACACCACTAATAACCGTTTCAAAGGCCATAGTTGTAGCGGAAAAGCCGTAGGGATGAGGCTCCAGGAGCACTGCTTTTGAGGTTTGTTCTAGGCGGAGGCCACTCAGGGAAGCTTAGAGCATTTAAAAATATATTACAAGGGGAAGGGTGATGAAATGATCCTCTCATTCGAAGAGTGGCCCTCCGGGAGGTCGAGCAAGCCGCAACCCTGGCCGGGTGTTGCAGCAGCATTCCTGTATTCCTCTGAGCCCCCAGACAGCCACCCTGGGGAAGGGAGGAGTGCAGATCTGTGCACTTTAATTTTATTCCTTGTTCCCTCCAGTGCTAAAGAGCTGCATGCTCATCTGGACTCATTCAGACAAGCAATTTAGGCCTGACCTCTAGTCTCAGGCCCTTTAGGGACTAAGTGAGGAGTAGCTCGTGTGAAATATCAATATGGGAACACACAGGGATCCCGGGAACTCAGCATTGTCACCGGCTCAGCCCCGGGCTCTCCATGGCTTTCACTCAACTCTGCTGCAATCTGATGCCTTGTCTTCATTCTTCTGTGCCAGCCAGAAAGGCTGATTTTATTTCAGAGATTCACAGATTTGTAATTCCTTGATGTAGAAAAATCCAGGGCAAAGACTAAGAGGAATGACATTTCTTTGGTGGTACAGTCAGCAAACATTCTGGCAGTACACACTGTGGGGCAGGGCGGACATCAGACCCTCTTCCCAGTGACCAAGTTCCCTTGGTCTTCTGAGTACCATATATACTTCCTTCAGTATGTGGCCAGAGATTCTCTTTGACCTCTATGGTGTGGCCATTCTCTGTTTCCTTTGCAGGGGTCTTGACCTCCAGCCTGAGTGTGAACCCCAAGAAAATCCTCCATGTGGAAGACACAGGCAAGAGTCCCCTGCTTTACCCAGAACCCTCAGACCCAGGCTCCTGGAAACTGCCACTGTGCCAGCGTGTGCAGCAAGCCTTCCCATTGTCGGGCTGCCAAGGTCAGAAGTGATGTAGTTTGTGTGAAACTTTCAAACAAGGCTGTGTCCTCTTGTCCTGGAATCTCATAAACCCTGGACTTCAGAAGAAGAAGAGAAGAAGTTGCCATCAGTCAGGAACAAGTCTGCTGTCATGTGAACAATGGATAGTCTGGAGCCTCTAGTCAGAACACAGTAGCAAAGGGCTCGGGGCCCACAGGGAAAGGGCAGAGGACACTTGTCTGCGTTCCCGAGTTGTTTTCCTGTCATGTATATACCCAAGCTTGGTTCCCAAAAGGGCTGACAAAACAATTGTGTAACTGTTGGAGGGATTTCCTCCATAATGATTTTGCTAATCCTTGTGTTAGGGTTTACAGTTTAATTCAAACTTTTCATCATCAAAATTTCGTCATCATGGAAACTGGCTGTCCCCAGGGTCTTTTCCCATAGGAAGTTTTTACCTCCATCACTGAACCTTTCTCCACCTGGTACCTGAGATCCACTGACTTAGATTTTCCTGGCAACATAGTTCTGCCAGATCTGGACAGTGATGTTTCACACGGAGCGATCAGAAGTATCCGGAAGTATAGGCCTGTCCGCATGAGAGCACTAAGCCGATATCTCAACCCTGCGCAGGCCAGCTCAGCCCAGCCTAGCTTAGTTCAGCTCAGCCCTGCCCAGCTCAGATCAGCCCAGATCAGCCATACCTAGCCCAGCCCAGCCCTGCTCAACCCTGCTCAGCTCAGTCCAGCCTAGCTCAGCCCTGCCCAGCTCAGCCCTACCCAACCCTGCTTAGTCCTATCCAGCCCAGCCCTGCCCAGATCAACCCTGCCCAGCCCCGCTCAGCCCAGCCCTACCCAGATCAGCTCTGCTCAGCCCAGTTCAGCCAAGCCCAGTCCTGCTCAGCCCTGTTCAGTCCAGCTCAGCCCAGCACCACCTACATCAACACACAAGATTAGTACCTGTTCCAGCTCCAGGGCTGACCAGCACCCACATTGTGTCCAGTACCGCCCAAATCTCACTGGTAGTCTTCCTCCTACCTATTGCTCAAAAACCAAGACAGGCCTTGGAAACAATTCTTGTCACTTAAGTTTTAGGGTAACAGATTCCAAGCAATAGAAAAAAAAAAAAAATATATATATATATATATATATATATATATATATATATATATGCCTATCTGACTCCAAGGAGAGTGTCTTGTGCCTGTTAGGGATGGAAAAAAGGAAAGGAGTTAAATGAATCCCAGTATCCCATCCCTTGGACGTCTTGGACCTTAGAATCCAGCAACTAAGAGTCAGTTGACAGGGAAGACTTCTGTCCCCCCTCCTCACCCTCTGCCCTGGCCCTAGCCCTATCTCAGAGCTCCACTGTTGCTCCATTTCCTGCTCTGCCTCAAAGCAAAACACAGAAATTGCAACAGAGGTCATCCCTTGCTGCATGGGCCTGCTCCATGAGGCCGTTTCCCAGTGCATGTGTCTAGGGTGACCCCTTCCCTCCAACAGGAAGCAGTTATAGACTGTAGCCTGCAGGGACTCAGGCACGGGGAGGAAAGCCCTGATGTGGCCACCTCTCTACCTTCCTCTGCCCTCTCTTTGTGCACATCTCTCCTAGCCTACTTGGTCGTTCCTCTGAGTCTGCATGTCATCATTGTCTGTTCTCCCAGAGAAGCCAGCCTTTCCCATCTACTGTAGAGTTGATTTGGTAGAGAAAGGGGCAGAGCCAGAAAGCAGGCTTAGTCTTGCAGTGAGTGAGAACTGTGAGAGCACCCTCCATCTGCAGGGAGCATCCATCCAGGTGCTTTGAAGGGAATTCTGCAGCCTTCCATCACAGGCCAACAGACAGAAGCACCTGGAGAGCTGCCTAAAGATCATAAACACAACAGGACCTTGCAAAGCAGAAGGAAACCTCTAATCCGTGTGTGCTGTTTCCTAAGAGCCCAGGATGCTCACTTACTGGGAACTTAATGGTGACAGAAGGGTAATGAGATGCCATGGCATTTCCCATTGTGTCAGTGATACCTTGATTCTCAACCCACCCACCCACCAGTGTGTGTGTGTGTGTGTGTGTGTGTGTGTGTGTGAGAGAGAGAGAGAGAGAGAGAGAGAGAGAGAGAGAGAGAGAGAGAGAGAGAGATTTGAGCTTTCTGGTCTGGTTGTCTAGTATTACTCAGACTTCTATTATTGATCTGTTATTTGGCTGTTTACAAAGTGCCCAGACCTGACTCCTGCAGCAAGCACAGCAGCCCCTGCAACTCTTCCAGCAAGTAGCTTCTGCAAGAACACTTATCTTCAGGCTGCATAGACAGACCCCTGTTGTGGAATTCTTGTCATTTTGGAAGTCCTCTATTTTTGTTCTTATTTTTTCCAGTGGCAACAGAACCCAGGGCCCAGAGGTCCTTTTTAACTCCCCAGCCTTCTGTTTATAATTTTATTTGCCTCCGCAAGCCAACACTCCCAGACTTCGAGTGATAAATTCAATTGGAATTGAATTTGGAGGTACCAAATAATTTGACCTTGTTGTAACCTTATGATTTTTAGCATCCCCATGTCCTGGGGAGGAACAGCAGTTTATGTCTGTTTATATTTTACTTTTTTAGTTCAAGATCCTTAGGTTGGTAATGGCTCTGGTTAGAGACTTAGACTTGGGGAGTGTGGACTCTGGCAACCATGTTTGGTTGGATTTAGCAGTTCTTGTTATTTGGGGTGGAAAATTGAAATGATCAAGTTTGCTGTTTCTTTTTTTTAATTGGAAAAGCAAATATTGTGTTTTCATAATAAATGTGTTTTAGCAAAATTGCTAAGGGTCACTCATCCGGTAGCGACCCTCCAGAGAGCCACTCATCACATTAGTATTAGTAGGTCAGCCATCTGTAATCAAAGTGGCCCTAATTACCCCAAAGTGTTATAAGACTCTCTGGGTTCCTGCAGGGTCTGGCCAGTGCTCTTACTTCTTGGCATGCTGATTGCCAGATTTCCATGAAGAGGGAAACTGATGTTTATAGTCTTGTTGATTAGACATTTATGCTTTTAAAAAATAGTAATCCTACAAAATTATGACTTTTTAAAAGTATCTAGACCTTCAGCAGACAGGAAAAAAAGGAAATTTAGCCTGGTAAGTGACTTTTTACAGTGTCTTCAGCCAAGTTTGCAGCTCTTGAGAGCCCCGGGGAATGGCCCCTGACTTGGTGATGTGGCTAGTTATTCGGACCCTTAGCCTTATAAAGGAGATCACAAAGCTCCAGTGAGCCATGCAAATCCTGTCTTCCTAACTGTCCTCAGGTGTCACTTCCTTCTTGCTACTAACCTGTGGTAGAGGTTTGAAGGACCCTCTAAGCCTTCCAGTGTGTCTTACCTGTAGCTGTGTTACTCCATACCTACTGAAGGGGGTGTCACGTCTAAAGGAAACTTGTGCTTGTATTTGCACGCAATTTCTATGTATATGGCATACACAGTAAGCAAACATGTTCTTAGTTCAGTCTACAATGTGTAGTGTGTGTAAATAGGGGGACAACTGATGGAGAGGATAAATTAAGTTATAGCATGTTGTTTGATTGTTTTGAGGTCTCTTGTTATTTAGCTTCCCAGCACTGCACATTTAGGTTGTTCCGAGATGGGGGAGACCTCCAGGTCCGCCCCACCTTGGTAGGAGTGTACATGTGCACTAGAACACACTCCACGAAGGCACCATGCTGGGGAAACACTTAGCTCCTTAAATGGTGCCACTCAACTCCAGTCCGCTCCTTTTCGTTCTGATTCCCTGGGATGATTTGATGAGCTAGAACTACAGCATCTAGGTGCTGGGTGTTTCTGACATTCTCATAGTTTGTAGGAAAATAAAAGCTTATCCCAGCATCTATACAAAGTTGATTTGCATTTTTTATTGAACAAAGTTATTCACAAGCGTTTTATAAACCCAAAGCCAACAGGTGTTCAGTATGGTAGCTGATACCACTCAGAAGGTTTATACATACTCATGCAGGATCTACGCCATGGTTCATAGTATGGAATGCTGATATTCAGCCACCAGGGCACCTGCGGCCTCTGATGTCACCGAGTACACTTCTATATATGTGGTTCCTCGAGACTCTGGTCTACAGATGGGACACCATCTGTGTCCTCCACCCATCATCTCACCGAGTTAAACCTATCCCCGTCTTCATAATGGCATGGCTAGGCCAGTATGGTCTGTTTTTACAACTGATATTAAGCCTCATAGTGACCTTTGCCCCCTGCCTTGTCTTTCCTAGGCACCCCTGCCCTATTCTGGCTAGAGTTCCTGTCCTTAAGGAGAACTTTGGTATTAGGTGACAGGCAATATGTAATTTTGACCTCCTAGTGTGGCTGAAGCCAGGTACTGATATTTCCTGCCTCAGGGCTCCAGCAATCACATTACAACCTTGTCTGTGGTCTCCGAGACCATAGTGTGCCACTCGGTGTTCCGGACAACAGCGAATTCTCAGAATGCTGAACAACCTAGTTTATAACAAATCATTCACTTGTTCCTTTAGCAAATGCTTGCTGAGCACCCATTACTTGCAGAACGTGTTGGTGTCCTGAGAAAGGGTCTAGGGAGTCAAGTGCAAAGTGGAGCCTCAATTGGCCTGGCTTCATTTTAGCTTTTAACTGATAATCAAGAGCTTATATAGTTCCTTCTAGAAACAACTGAAGCTTTGTGAGCCAGAAGCACTACTTCACAACCTCCTGCTTCATTTGGGCATTTCTAAGGAGGATTCAGATTCCTACCTCATTCCCTCCCAGGGTAGAACTAAAGTATCTGCATCCCTTATAGCTACCTGGAAGGTGATGGATGCCCAGAAATTGACTAGGGAGCTAGAGGAGCCATGCTGATGGTATTCGAGGCAGCCCCATGTGTCTGTTGAGCTGGGTGGCCCACTGCTCTACAGCTGCTCCTTGGAGCCGAGTCCTTTCCTCTTGCTAACTGTTCAGCTCAGCAGATGGCCTTCCAGGATTCCCAGGGAGCTTTCCTCTGGGGTCATATTGGGCTACTTTGCAGATATGGAAATGAGCACTCAAAACGCAAAGGCTGCTGTCACTACTGTCTCATAAAGTTCTTCTCATATTTATAGCAGAAAGGTGGGAAGGGGTTGATTCTCGGTACCATGTTTCCTGTGAGAGATTGGCTCATCTTCATAAACCCTCGTCAACACCCTCAGACCATATCAAAAAGAATCCAGCTTCCACTGAAAAGGACCATTACTAGAAGAATGCAGTTGTTGGTTTTTGATGTGGGAGATTTTGTTTGTTTAGCATCCCAGGGGAAATGCCTGTCTCCTCCGACCGAGTATCTCCTAATGAGAAGACACCGCATTTACAGTGTTCACTTCTAAATCTCTGGTATAGCTTTGTGTGTGTCATTTAAGCCAAGGCCACTTGATGAAAATGTTTATACCAAGGAACACTATTCTCATTTGCACTCTACAAATGGATATGGTTTTAATTGCATTTCATTTTCAAAAAAAAAAAACATGGAAGTTGTGGGAAAATATCACAAAGAATACCTCTCTGCATACGTGGTTCCTTAACACCCTGGCCTACAGCTGGGAACACCAACTCTGTCTTCCATCTATTTCTGCTGTAAAAACTGAGGCCTGAAGGTGTTACCTCACTGGCTGTCAGGCAGCTAGACTGGGGCTCTAGCCAGGAGCTGAGTCTCCCGGGTCTCCATGTGTAGTTACACCTCCATTTAGCACCAATAACTGTTCTTGACCAGTACATGGATTGTTTCTTAAACAATGTAATTTTCTTGTGCCCGTTGTAGTGTAGCCACTGTGAGGATGCTTCTAAGACCACATCGGAGGCCACCCTGAGTCTAGACTGAGCACAGTAAGGTGTTGGCACTGTGCTGTCTGATTTGCCAGAAATCTGACCTCTCCTTATCATCCACAAAAAGAGCGCTTGGAACCAACCCCTACTGGGAATTCAAATACCACCAGATAGCAGATTCCTGGAAAGGCAGGTTGCATGGGTCTTAACTAAAAAAAAAAAAAAAGACTGAAAATAAAGATCTGGCACCAAGGCGGGCTTAGTGTAATGCCCAGGCGGGCTGACCACACCCTGCAATGTCTTTCCCACCTTCTAGAATCAA